TGAGGCATGGTGTGACCTTTGATTAAGAGAGTACATTATTTGAAGACGATTGATTTGAGTAACATTTGTAGTTCTGTTGACAGGAGAGACATGGTCTCCAAATTATTTTGCCGGGACTCGCCAGAGGAGAATAGAGTTCCAGATGGCATTTCAAAAGTTGCCACTTTCCAGTGACCAACAAGTTCACCTAACAAGCTTCGAGTTTCCAAAAGTTGGGAATGCTGTGACGACACACAGCAACGGCCCAAAAGACCAAGAACAGACTTAGTTAACCTGATTCGTTTGTCCTGGACATAGATGTCCATAACTAGGAAGAAGTTTCCAAAGCCTCCAGTTCCAGAAATGTAAACAAGGGTGATGTTACCTCTTGGGGTATACAAGGCCTAATGATGTTCTCCTAAAAGTAAAATATTGCGATTCACTAGCTATGTTGCACTGTCTCTTGTATAGCTAATGCAGATTAAAACTACTACCCATCCTTAGTAATTCACTGTTTTTTTCTTCCACTTCTCACTCCACTACCGCTATTATAGAATCTTCCTTATGACTCTGATAGATTAGAGTCATTGAAAGTAGTGTTGGTTGTTTCTTCACAGGATAATAATATTCTTTGTCAACAATAACTGTATATAAGAACTTTGAGGGAAAAGAGTCATAACCTCCAGATCAGAGATTACAACTCATTGCATGCCAACATAGTTTATTGCCATGCTCAAAATCTCCCAGTTCTGAGTTCATTGGTGACAGCAGTGTGAAATCCAGTAGCTGAAATGGATCAAAGGGTGATCCCAGATTTTCTTCTGGCCCGTCGCCCTGAAATTTAACAGCCTGGAATAAGAATCAGAACAAGCAAGAGTTGAGTTCGGATGTACTCCTTGTGCTACGTATTAAGAATTCATTTCTAAAATAATAATAAATCAAATAGCACGCTCGTTCTCACCTCTAAAATCCTTTCATCTGGAGCTCCATTGTTACAATTATAAGTGATGTTGCTAACTGGTTCCTCGAAATCATTGGTTGAATTATTATAAACCTGGATTAAGAATCATAACAAAGCAAGAGTTAAGTTTGGATGTCATTCTTCTGCCATATAAGGAAGTTCATATGTAAAAAACATAATTCAAAGAGCACGCTCATTCTCACCTCTGAATTACTTCCACCTGTAGCTCGATTTTGGACACCATAAGTAATGCTGCCCACTGGTTCAATTTGATTATTCATTGATATATTATTCTTATGTGTAAGATAAGAATTCCTATCCCCAATCGGAGATTGCTGCCTATTGCAGTCAGCATCATAGACATAAGGAACATTTCCCTGATTTGTGTATAATGGTGACTGCTGTGTGGAGAAGCAGTAATCCTGTGGCAGAGGTGGCTGAGGTGGCTGTGGTGGAGGAAGGGGTGAATCCAGATTTTCTCCTGGCTCGGCATAATACTGCTGGATTAAGAATCACAAACAAGCAAGTGCTAAGTTTTGATATGCTTCTGCTGCTCCAAATTAGCAAGTTCATATAAAAATTGTTCAAAGGCATGAATAAACAAGTTCATATAAAAATTGCTCAAAAAGCATGAATAAGCAACTTCATATAAAAAAAGGGTCAAAAAACACTATTACACTCACCTCTTGAAGCAAATCATATGCAGCTTGACTATCGAAATCGGAGAAAATCCAGGCATCAATTTGATCATCATCACAGATTGAAATATCATTGTTTTCTATCAGACCAGAACCATTACCATTCAGAACATCTCCTACCTCTTGGGAGGCCAGATGTTCTAATGGCTCTGAAATCATATCGGCTCCTGCAGCTTGATCATCTTCAGAATTAGAGGCAATGCCGCCACCAGAACCAGTATCAGCTAATTCATCACAGATTGAATCATCCTTCAGCTTCTTATAATTAGCTGACTTATTCTTCAGGCGGCAGAGAACAAAGTCCTTCTGTTGATTGGTATTAGGACCAAGTTGGGCCAGTTCAGTGTTGGTGAGATAATACTCATGCATGATCCAGTTGGTCTTCTTTGCTGTGGGCACACGGCCTTCGTAGAAAGTCAAGGTCCTCTTCTTACCAATCACAACTTTGGATCGTCCAGCCTTGATCTCACGAACCTTGCCTGTGATTTTATAAAAGCCCTGATCTGTGGCCCTGTTGCAGCGAGTGCTGTTGGTGTACTTATAATCAGGTTGGCTGAAGAAGAACCATTCCATCTCTTGATCTGGAAAGTCTGCCTCTTCAAAGAACGCTGAAATGCCACACACAACAAAATTTTCAAAATTTCAAATAAACCACGTCAAGTCTTCAAGTACTCAACAGAAGAACTGAACATGATCAAAATTTTCAAGAGCATTGAAATCCAAATGCGACACAAAACGAAGTATTGAAAATTTTAAAACCAATCCACTTCAAGTCCAGAACTCAGACAACAAAAATTTAACATGATCATAAATTTTAAACAAAAATCAGAACAGAACATTAGAAATGTATGTGAGATGGGTTGGCTCTTTCCAGAAGTACTCATACAACAAAACTGAACAAGATCATAAATACAACAAAACAGAACAACAGAAATGTGAGGTGGGTTGGATCTTTCAAGAGGATTAAAAGCGAAATGCAACACAAAACAAGATATGAAACCAACCCACTTCAAGTCTTGAACTACCCGACAACAGAAGTGATCATGATCATAAATTTATATAAACAAAAGCATAGTACCACTAGAAATGAGGAAGTGGGTAGTGAAGAAGAAGTGAGAAAGATAAATGGGTTACCAGGAACATCACAAGGCTCGTGCTTGCAGACATCGATTTCAGGGATGATGTGGCTGAAGTTAGAGTCCTTGCCCTCTATCTTCTTCTTCAAGTAGTAGCTCACCAGCACTTCTTCAGTGGGGTAGAATCTGAACCCAGGTAGGAACACAGGAATTGAATCCCCTTCTTCCATTGTGCTGATGCTGCTCATCTCTCCTTCTTGTTATGAACTTTGGCACTGTGATTTTCAAATGTTTTGGGAAGCAGTAATAAGAGTGAAGTATTTATAAACACTAAACACTAACCAGGTCCCACTAGCTCAAAGCACTAGTCCTTTTGACTATTTGTTTGATGATTTTTTATTTTTTTATATAATTGTTTTCGTCAATGTGTTTGATGATTGATCCCAAGTCCATGAGCTTCTCATGCAAGTTCAAGTTTACCTGACTGAAGAAGGACATGGCTTGGGTCATATAAGGGCAGCCCCCACGCACTCATTCCGTTTCACGCGTTAATTTTTAGTTTTTATAATTTATATTTTGTTCTTTCGCGGGAGTCTCATCTACCCCTCTTGTAAGTTGAGCTTTAGTACGTTTCTATTCTTCAGCTAATCATTGTTTTGGGGGGAAGAAGAACATTCTAGACTCTTGATACATGGGTCAAAACCTTCTTCATAAGTTATTGTTCGTGACATCGTTACACGTTCCATGTTCGCTGCGGTGTTCAAAATCTATTTAAGTTTGGGATAATCCTTCCTTTTTAGGAACTCCTTCTTACCTTGTAATGTGGCCCAACCATAAATTGACATGTGTCCTGTTTTTTTTCAAAGCCTCAAAAGTGTTTTTACCTTCTCTTTTTTTTTTTGGTCTGAACCACGAGGTGGTCCTGGATGGGCTCCAACTATGGATGACACCTTTAAGCCTTAACCACAACCCAGACTAATCCCCGCTCACACCGGGTCGGCCCGTAAGGAGTAAAGTGCTGGCCAAAGTGGTGACTCCATACAAGAGCAGGGATCGAACCCCTGACCTCTCTTAAGGAATGAGAGTGCCGAACCACTCACACCAACCACCTTGGTTGTTTTTACCTTCTCTTTCATTAGCATAACTAATTTCCTTTTTTATTTCATACCTCAGTTAAATTTTATGTCTATTGTGGACTTTTCTAACTCCAACCCCAACAATTCACCTTCATCCAAAATTACCATTGGCAATGTTGGTAGGCATAGTTTCTCATAGAGGTGTTTATTTTTTTAAAAGGATATACACATTTTTGAATGAAGCAAACTTTGAGTTGTAGAGACTTTAGAATACGAAATTATAATGCATCTATAATGCCTCCTTTCCTAGTTATGAAAAACTAAAGAGGTGGTTTGCTGGATAGATGAAACCAATTTTAAAAAAAAAATTCAGTTATGAATAATTAAAGGTAAGAAACAAAAATATTTTTGGGAAAAAAAATGCACATATGATAAGGAGGGAAGTATTGTCCTTAAGTTTATGATTTAGTTATAATTAATAATTATATACGCTTTATAGTAGTGTTTTCTCATATCAAATACCCACGTGATTTTATCGTCACACAAAATAAGATGATTATTTAGATTTCTTACCATGTTCGCATGAAAGAGAATTTTTATTAGAGAAACAACTTGAGATACCGATGATTTTAAAGAATTTTATAAGAAAGTTGAGAGAAATATTATTAGATTAATAACTAGTTCACTAAAGCAAATCAGAAACAACTGGTTTGGAGCCAAAATCTTGTTGCACTTTTATAATAACAAGGTTGAGCGAAGTACCTTTAAATTAGTAGCTCAAATTAGATTTGGAGCCAAAATATTGTCCCAAGGCAAAACTCATTTACAACAATTTGACATTGGCCGGTGGTAACAACTGGTTCGAATCAAACGAGCTTGAACGAAAAAAAACAAAAAAACAAAATCTTCGTATATTGTTGCGACTATCCTACAATACAATCACATTGGAGTAACTGCCCAATATATATTTTTTTCCATTCAGGATAATAAACCAAAATTAGATTTACCAACGGATGACTATCCAGACCTTTGGAGCGAGGAAGGAAGATGCTAATTCATTTGTTCTACATTAGCAGAAAAGAGGACAAAATTTGCACTGAGCAATGGCAGGTAGACATTATGAGACCGAAAATAGAGGAAGTAATTCACAATATATTCCATTCAACATTGTAATGTTTGAAATAAACAACATTCACAAGGACAATATTCAGGATACAATTTTTGGTAGGAGGTCACTGATAGGTTTAAGACCTTCCAAATACAAAAATAATAGTACATTTTCGAAATGACTGTATCTAGTAACTACTACTCCAGTAAGGATGGAGTTCAAAGATTCTATATCAGTAACCAGAACATCACACTAGTGTCTGGTTATACCAATATAGTAACCTGAGACTCCAGCATCCATGTAGCAGAAGCTTCTGTGTATAGTGCCACTTCTATAATGATCATGACTGTAGAACAAAAGCAAGCCTATAAGACTATACAACTAGAACTTGGTATTGAAATATTATTGTACCATGGGGGAACTTGGTTTACGGCTTGAAGGAGATGCTTCCAGGAACGTAAGAGAACCCTTCAATTTGGTGCCCATTCCATGCCCGCTTCAAATGGTTTGAACAGCAACGCAATGAGCTGCAGCTTCCTGACCTGCAAACAGAAATCAAATTCAGTTGAGTGAGAATAGCAAATGGCCTCCTCAATGTCAAAGCTTCATTATAACATATTTCATTTAACTGCTGTGAGAAAGTCATGTTTTCAGCTTGATTCCTTCTCACCTTGTGTTGTGATACTACTCTGCACTCGGATTCTTCTAGGAGCACCTCCCATGTGTGCAGCGAAGACGTGAATGGATATTGGTTGATATGGAGGCTGTGTGTTCTTCGACTTGTAGGATAGATATACTAGTTGAAGAAGACTACTGATCTGAGGAATATCTGTAGTTTGTGTTGATAGAGGAAGTGCCATCTCCAAAAGACTGCTTCTGAGAAAAGACATCTTTACTTCATCTGGACTTGTTGCATTCGGAGAAAGGTAGAGAGTTCCAGATGGCATTTCAACCAGTTGCATTTGCTGGTCTTTCTTTGTACCAACAAGTTCACCTACCAATTAAGGTTGAAGTTTCCAAAACTTGGGAATGCTGGGACACAGCTGCTTCTTTTCTTTTCTTTTTTCCCTTTTCTTTTTTGGTTTTGTTTTTGTTTTTTTTGGGGTTACACACACATCAAGGATTTTGGACATAATTGCCCAAAACCCTTGCTGTGTGTGACAGACTAGTAACTTAAGTCGTTTGTGAAATATTTGTAGGAGAATATCAGTCTGTAATAATGTGAGTTTGAGACACATTCTTACAAGGGCTCTTGTTGTTTATAAGTCCCCTTTGATATTCTCCTATAAATAAAATGTTCTGGTTCATTAACCATAATGGAGTGGCTAATGCAGATAATCTTTACATGGAGTACTTCAGTGTTTGTGTCACTGTTGTACTCCACCATCCTCATCATAAACCCTTCCAATGATTTTGGTAGGTTGTAGTCATTGGAAAGAGTTTATGATGTTTTTGTTACTCAAGAACTATGTGGGAAAAGAGCCGCATATTGCGACTCATTGCATCCAATATAGTTATTGGCATGCAGAACATCTCCCTGTTCCACGTATAATATTGGGGAAGGCAATGTGTAATCCTCTTCCTCAAGTGAACGAAAGAACGATTGCAGATTTTCTTCTGATTGAGAATAAACCTGGATTAAGAATTATTCCAAGCAAGCGTTAAGTTCGGGTGTCATTATTGTGCTCCATATTAAGAAGTATATATATGAAAATTTCAAAGAGCATGTTGATTCTCACCTCAGGAATCCTTTCATCTTTAGTTTGATTCTCGAAGTCAGAGGCTGTGTTGCTAACTGGTTTGCCGTAATAATTGGTTGGAATATTATTCTTGTTTGGAAGAGAAGAATCATTATCCTCAATTGGGGTTGGCCAGCTACTGCATTCATCAGTACAGACATCAGGAGCATTTCCCAGCTCAGGTGGCCCAGGAGGAGGAAAGGGTGAATCCAGATCTTCTCCTAGCTGAGCACATAACTGCCATTGCCAGATTAAGCATCACAAAACAAGCAAGGGTTAAGTTTTGATATACTTCCTGTGCTCCATATCAACAAGTTCACATCAGAAAATGTTCAAAAAGTCTCACCTCTCTAAGCATATCAGATGAAACACAGGTACGAAGTTCACCATCATCAGGATTGCCACTGCCAAGAAGAACACGTTCTAGCTCTTTGTAGGCCAGAAGTTCTTCTTCGTCTGTAATCATATGATGGATAGCAGCAGCTTGGTTATCAGAATTAGAGGCAATGTAGTCACCAGTACTACCATGAACATTTCCCAACTGAGGTAGCTGGTGTGGCCGAGGCGGCTCAGGAGGAGGAGAAGGTGAATCCAGATGTTCTTGCTGATCACATGGCTGCCAGATTAAGAATCACAAACAAGCGTTAAGTGTTGACATATTTCTTGTGCTCCGCATTTACAATTTTACATCAGAAATGTTGAAAATGCACATTCATACGCACCTCTTGAATCATATCATCAAAATCAGATGAAACAAAGCCACCAGGTTCACCATCATTAAGATTTCCAGTTCCAAGCACACAGTTATTATAAGACTCATAGTCAGCTGACCTATACTTGACCCGGTAAAGAACAAGGCCACTCATCTGATTGGGGTTAGAACCCGGGTCAGTTGGAGTGAGATAATACTCCTGCTTGACCCAGTCGGTCTTGCTCGACTTTTTCGGACGACCTAAATGGAAGGTCAAGGTCTTCTTTTTGCAAGTGAGCGATTTGGAGAGTTGTCGAGACTTCACTTCTCGTGGCTGGCCTGTGATTTTCCAGAATCCCTTCTCTGTGAGCCTGTTGCGGCGAGGACTGTGGACGTATTTGTAATCAGGTCGGCTGAAGCAGAACCACGTCCTAGCTTGATATGGAGAATCTGGGAACATGAGTCCTGCTCCTGCAAAATGCAACACAAAACAAGTCTTGAAGTAATGAACAACATATTTCAACAGAACAACTGATCAAGATTATGTATAAACAAACATCATACCTTGGAAATTAGAAAATGGGCAGTGAAGAGAAAGAGAGACAGATTACCAGCTAAATCCCAAGGCTCGTGCTTGTAGAAATCGATTTCAGGAATGATGGAGGCCTTGCCCTGCATCAGCTGCTTCAAGAAGCGAAGAAAAAGTGGGATAGATTCATTATCAGGTAAATCCCAAGGCTTGTAATTGATTTCAGGCATGACTTGGTAGTCCTTGCCATTTATCTTCTTCCACAAAAGGTTCACCATTTTCTCATCAGAGGGACGGAATCTGAACTCAGGCAGCAAGTCCAGCACCCATGCTTCTGTTGTTGTTGTGCTGCTACCGCTGCTCATCCCTCCTTCAATTCAACTGTTCTGGAAAATTGGAATAAGATTATAATAAAATGTTTTGGCTTCAGAGAAGATCCAGCAGAGCAGTGAGGTTGTATTAATAAATTCCCGACCGAGGTCTCTTGACTCTTGGTGGACTTACTGTCCATGGCTTGTGGTCTCTTTATTCTTTTCGTCCCAAGCCACTTCCTATGATGCCTTTCTTTTTTATTTTCTTATGCTCCTCTTCCCCCTTTGCTTTGATTATAATCAAGAATAAATTCCGTACTCTTTGTTTGCCTTAAAGATAAAATGATAAATGAATAGGTGCGTGCTAGTAGTGCTAAGTGCAAATATTTATATAATGATGTTTAATTAAAATTACAATGATCTCATTAACTTTCAACAAAATTACCAACTAGCTTTTCCAATGTAGGAAAAATTACAAATTGGGACAACGATTCAGAAAGGATGGATCAGATGAGAGGTAGCGTAGAGGGTACAATACAACTAGTCAGTTGGCTTCCTTCCTCTTCCTCCCAAGTACAGAAGCTCTCTCAAATCGGGGGCCACCTATCCGCCACTTCTTAAAGGCCGCCATTGACGACTGAGCTGCCTCATACACTAGAAACAATTGTGCAACCATTTTGAGTCAACATTCATATAGAAGAAGTTTGAGAGACAGTGATGAAAGATATGATAAAACATGTAGGGTGATATAAATCTTACGATTGGTTTCTTCTTTTGTTAAGTACGACAGCAATTTTGAATGTGCTGTAAATGCTGCGTTATGTGCCTTTGCCAGGATTTTCTGATACCTGGTCCTAAATGCAGATAATAGGAATGATCCCATGTCTCTATCACCAACCCTATCCATCCAAATGATTCAAACAAAAATAAAGAAAAAACTAGTTAGAATCAGTTTGTCTGGCCACAAATAGTACATGTGAACAGCGCAGATTGTTCAGTGTCCAATTTACCACCCAAAAACAAGAACAGATAACAAATCATCCGGTTGTATTTCTTTGAATTCAGACAAGAAGCATAAGTCAACACTAAATACCCTCCTACCAGATCATAAACCACACTAGGCCAAGTCTACAAAGTGAAGGTCCAAATGTTAAACCAAGAGTGCCAACTGCCAAGCCAATCAATAAATGTCCAATTCTCAACGTTATACATGTTGGTTTTTCTTTTTCTATTTTCGCTTTTGACTTTTTTCTCATTTACTTTTGTGTGTCAGGTATACACATTAATCTATTGTATAGACCTGGCTTTCATAGGAGAAACTCAGGGTTTTATATCCCTTGACCAGAATTTTCAATAGAACTTCAGGGATAGTTTTCATTTTCAAATTGACAAAGAACAAGATCATGACAATTCACAGTGAAAAAAGTTTATCCAGAATGGGAGTCTTGTCATATACCATTTTCTCAACCCTCTACCACACTAGGGTTCATTTATATGAAATATCCACCTATTAGAATATAACTCAAAGAAAAGCATAAAAAGAACACACCGATCAAGTTATGTATACAAGAAATGGGTAGGAGAGAGACTCACAGCGGTGCTATCTTGCATCCAAATTCATAGAAGTATAGACATCGAGATCTTAAATCCACAGATGCACCATCAGCCCCAAGTTCCAGTTTTGTTCTGACAAAAGAAGAAATCTACAAGAGTTAAATATGTAATACCAATCACTAATTTTGAACTTTGAACTTGAATCACATAAGTCACTCTTTATGCCTTCCCCAAAATCTAATACATGCCTGAAGGCTGGCAGCAACTATGCTTGATCAGTACCAACTAATAAATTCAATGATATGACAATTAAAACATAATATAATGCAGAGAAGAAATGTCTGAACATCAGATTTCAAAGATGGAAATAACTGAAAATCAATGACCACTTGCCACAATGAATCTCCCTGCAACTCATCCCTAAAAAATGGCCATAAATTATTTTTAAATAAACCTATACAGATCATTACCTTTGATTGAAACATGCAGGAACCTTCATCTTTGCTACTTTTCTGAGGTGTAACTCATGGGCAAGCCAGTAAGGCAGCTCTACCTTTGAACCGGGTTCAACCTGAAGTACAGCCCCAAGAAGATATAAGAAAATATATCCTTTGAACAAAAACCATTCACTCCAAATCCACTCTGGTCACTTACACAATGGGTTTCAGCACTAGGATCAATATCAACCCCATTTACTGCTTGCTGGAAAACAACTGGGACACGCTGCTTGGAAACAGCAAACATGTTTAGAATACAGAATTAAAATGACTAAGTAAATAAAGCAAATGGAGTTTAGATTTCGAGGATACAAAGAGACGGGAATTAACCTGTTCCTCCACAAGAATATCATCAATGTCATAGTAACTTGCCATTTTCAGAAAAGATCCCACTTTCCGTACAATGCTCCCTGCCTTCTCCAGGACAGACTCCTGCAGCAACGGATCCATGAGCCACCAAAACCCAAAATGACATATAGAATATAAGGCTAAAATTTTGACATTGTAGTTCAATAAAAGGTATTTGAACCATTCTAAATTCCTTAGGATTTCCCATATTTATGTGACACAGTTGCATTTGGGTTTACGAAGTGTAATTGGATTCTACAGAGATATCGAACCAACGAATTCAAGATTTCTTGTTTATGCAATTCAAACTGATAGGATACCGATATCAACAAGTTATGACTCTATGAAGCATTTTGACAAACAAGTTGCAGGCAAGAAGCAGACCTTATTGATTTCATAGAAGAAGCGTATATAATTATTTTCTTTCTTTCTCTGGCTGAGTATAGGATAAAGACTAAAAACTCAGAAAAAGAGATAAAACCCACAAATACTCAATTGGTAAAACATACATATCCAACTAATCCTAAGTTTAAAAGCAAGAATCAGATCAAGCCGACCATGAATCTACAGCATCGCATAGCTAGCCAAAATATGGAACTAAAATTCTCTAAAATCCAATCTGAAATGACGATATAGAGTTGAAATTAATTACATCGAAGTTCAGAATTACCTGAGTTCTTGTTTCCCTTTTTCTTTTTCGGGGGTGAAATCTGTGGCCGACGAGAGAGATTCAACTAAAACGGAGGGAAGAAGATCCAAAAATGAAAAGGAGGGAAACTCAAAAATATTAGAAGAAGGGGGTATTCGTGTGTAACGCAGTGTACCATATTTGCAAAAAGTTCACGAATCAGACACCGATTAGCTTAACTGAGCACGTATCTATCTAGTTACGAAGACCTTATGGTTTCTTTATTGATTTATTTATTATTATTTTGGTTTATGAATTGAATTCTGCATATTAATATAGACAATATTTGTTTCATTTTGAATCATAGAAAAATGATAGTATGTGTTCCCAATTTTTTTTTTCTTTTCTTTTTAAAAGGGGGACAGCTGGTGGCAAGCCACGGCCATCCACCCCTTCCGGGACCCGGAGAGGCTATAGGGAATTTCACCCCGTCCCTGGCCCTCATCGCTTGATTCACCAACGGCAGGAATCGAACCCAGGATCTCCCGTTTACATAGAGCCTGGAAAACGCCCTTACCACTGGGCCAACCCGTGAGGGTTGTGTGTTCCCAATTTTTAACTATCCATTATTGTAATCTGTCTACAATTTGCATTCGATGTGATTCCCAATGATTTAGCATGTTTACGTACTCGGATTAACTATTCCCCTAGTTGATCGGTTTCCTAGTTTTAAGGGTATTTGATTACGAATTTTATTGAATAAAAATAATTGACGAATGTAGCAAGTAAGAAACAGCTTAAATAATGATCAATGTGATTCTGAGAGGGTTATACATAATAAAGGATATATATATATATATATGTGTGTGTGTGTGTGTATTAGTAAACATAGAAGAAGAAGGTATTGGAATCATTATAAAATCCATTCTAGGTAAGTTAGAAGATTGTAATGTCGTTGCTTCACATTTGACTCGAAAAATTAAATCGAATTCACCAGCAAAAAACTGTGGAAGAAAAAAAATAGAAAAAATAGAATTATGGAAATCACTATTCTCTAGTAGCACTGGTATCATTAAAATATTCGAATATATTTAAAGAGTATAGTCAGCGACTATACTTTTTAAATAATCGAATATATTCACAGAGTATAGCCGCACAGCTACTAAAAACAATTATCAATGTGTTAAACGATGGAGAAAGACCAAAGTTTACAAACGAAGTCTTTTACTAAATTATAGCTAACAATGAGGCTACTAAAACAATTGCAAAAAAGGAAATAAAAAATAAAATTCATGGACGCTTCATCACATCCACTCTTCTTTTTTTTTTCCTCTTTTTTTTTTTTGTGCTCTTTCATTAGTGTAGTGTTCCATGCAACAATAGATACTTCAATCTTCTATTCAAGCACAGGTGGAACATTGAATCTCAAAACTAGTCCCACTGAATCACCCTATAAAATGTCCAGCTGGAGGGATTTAATGTTGTCTTTCCATCAGCAGCAACAAGATCATATGGTGAATCCTCTGCAAATTCTAATGGCATGGATTTCCAGTGTAAGCTTGGCTTCCAGTCAGCTTCCCTCAGTACCTTCAGTATCTCTTCCACCACTATTTTGCTCCCTTCAGCAGATAAATGAATCCCATCTCTGGAAAAGATAAGCAATTGAGTTTCTTTATGCCGGGAAATAAGATACTAATTGAAACTACATGAAACATTAACTGATAGATTTAGTTCAGTATAAACGTCCATAATGACACCTTCAAAGGGATATCTTAACAGCAGTCAATAGATTTCATCCCGACTTCACATTGCTTCCTAAAGAAAATCCTAGGCCTAAGATCATGAGAAAGTTACCCACGACGGATGGAAGAATGAAGCCTTCTCTCTGGAGAGAGGACATTAAACATTTTCTTCCCTCAAATAGATGGATCAAATAATATTGTATGAGCTATTGACTGAAAAACAAACATTCTTCACAACTGAATCAAAGAAGGGTCACAAGTCTGCTTAAAAGGGTTTGATTATGTGCCCGATAGGCCCACCGCTATCAAACCGGAAAGCCCTCTAGTGTCACGAACAGTGCTGCTTGATGCATCCTGGGGCATCTTTACCTAAAAAAGGAGCACACAGCATCAAGTCTTGGAAAGAGAAAAGGGGACTAACAAAAGAAACACTAAGCTGTCCAGCTATCCACAAGCAAGATATACATAGCTCATCTACATTCTAAACTACTGAAGGAAGAATAAAATGAGTATCACAAAAAGAATCAAGTAAGATGGGAAGAATGTGCTGTGGAACCTAATTAATATGAAAGGTGAACAGTGTTACCATACCCCACAGATTCTCAAATGATGCTTTAAGATCATTGGTCTTTGCTTCAGCTTCACCAATTCTGACTTGAAACGTTTCCAGCGACATTTCCCTTTCTTGAATCTCCACTTGGACTTTCTGATAGTCACTCAAAATAGGATGGTGTTATCTTCGAAAATATACATTATGGAGTCAATGATAACATAAAGTATAAAGGAACATACCGAAATTTCTTGATACAGCTCATCAACAGTTGATGCAGGAACATCCGAACAGGGCATGGATCTCTAGCTTACATCCTACTGCCATCTGAAGTGCAAACCTCCTTCAAATTTGAAACCCTCTGGTAAAAAACAATTGCTTTTCCCGCATCATAATCTCTCACGAGAACTTGCCTTTCAACACTTCCCAGGAAAATTAACCATAGTTGAACACAGAAAAATAAGTAAATGTGAAGTCGGGCAAGATCAATAACTAATAGAAGTAACAATTTAATATTAATCACGTACACGAACAGAAGAAGCCTGTAAACTTACCATATTTACCAACACGTTTAAAACAGCATGAATTTCAGAATGAAGAAGAGAAAGAGTAGTTGGGTGCCTTGTTTGCGGAAGCATGTGAAGAAGCGAGAGTTTTTATGATTTGTCACAATGAAAGCATTGAGCAACCTTCCAATGGCATGTTCAACAGCAAGAGCCCAGACATCGCCATTATTCAAAGTCTGCAGAACAACAATTATATTAAGATTGATCACTTAGCGTGTAGTTGCAAGTAGCAATGAAATTGATTCCCATCCACAAAAATAGAAGCTTGGTAGAAAGAACAGTAAGTGATAGAAGCGTAAGCAATATTAGCAAAAAGTAAAATGATCTGATGACATGTTCTGCTCCTTAACAGGCTAGGCGGCTAGGCGGTGGCTAGGCGGGCGGGCGCTAGGCGGCTAGGCTGCTAGGCGGTGGCTAGGCAGCTAGGTAGTAGCTAAGGGGTGGCTAGGCAGCTGGGTCTTTTTTCGGTGCCGAACTCAAGAGGACGAAGCAGTGACTGCGAGAGAAAGTTCCGTCCTCTGCGAGTGCAAGCGTCGCGTTTGTTCGAATATATTTAAACAGTATAGCCGCGCGGCTATACCTATTTATGGGTTCTAGCCATGTGGCTATCCTTTAAAATATTCCATGTTTTCACCAAAGAAACAATAATTAAAGTAATTAAAAAAGACTAAGATATTACTTAATTCCATATATTAAATAATAGAAGCTGGGCCCAAAAAAAAGTAAAGAAACTAATTTTATACTTTTCACGAGTATAGCCGTGCGACTACACTAGTAAAATATTGTATTTAGCAGGAATAGTCAGGCGGCTATATCATTATAATTTCTATTTATGGCGTATAGCAAGGCAGCTAAACTTGTGAAATTTCTATTTATAGAGTATATAGCCGCCCGGCTATACCTTTAAAATTTCTATTTATACAATATAGCGGCAATACTGTTAATATATCGTATTTAGGGAGTATAGCGGCTATACTCTTATAATTTCTATTTATGGGGTATAGCCGGTCGGCTATACTCTAAAATTTCTATTTATGGAGCTACCTGGCTTTACGGGAAAATTTTCTATTTATAGAGTATAGCCGAGTGGCGAGACTTTTAAAATTTCTATTTATACAGTATAAGCCGCACAGAGATACTGTATCCAGCATAAGCACATTGAAACACCAGCACTTTCATGGGACCATCGCTTCAGGATTGCCTGTGAAGTTGCCGGAGCAGTATCATATATGCACTCTGCAGCTTCAATCCCCGATCTTCAAGTCTTCTAACATTCTTCTAGACCATAACTTCAGTGGAAAAATAGGGAAGGATGGATTATTAAATTATCTACATAAAGATGATTGACATACAACATATATCCCTATGAAACAAACTAAAAAAAGTGAACAGGAGGTTCCAACTTTCTAAAATCTCACCGCTCTGATTAATGCTTATCAATCAAATGAACTTGCAAGTCTAGTGGTTTGCTTAAAGAAGTATCATCGGGAGCAACAAAAAGTGAATTACGGCACTCATGTCCCTGTACAGGATTTGTTTTGATTGCCGCTTTCGCTTATACGTTAGCAACACTTCGCTTCCCGACATTTAAGCTTTCAAAAAGAAATCTTGCTGCAATTCCGAACACTCGGACCGCATTATTCACATGAAATTTGTTTTTGTTCCACTATGTCAAAGTGCACTGAACATGTGTCAAAGTGTTAAAAAGCCTTTGCTAGAGCGTCAAGCTAAAATAATTTTGATAGATATGATTTGTCTGATGGTTTGATCTTATCCCTTCTGAGGTTATAGGAATTTTTCATAGGAAGAACCTACAAACCGCATCAGGGATTTTTTTTAACATTTATCTCATTATTAACTTAACCACCAGAAATGTCATTTACCCTTAAAAACCCCACCTAAACTTCCCTTTAAATCAAAATTCAGCTTCTCTTGAAATACAGGAACTCCATAAAACAGTCAAGTTACATGATGGGCAAAAGATTAATCCATGTGCGGTAAAATCTTGGATATCCAAGAGGATCAAATCTATCAAAAGCTTCCTGTCATCAACTCTTGCAGCAAAGGATTTCTACATAGATTCTGTGATTGTTATTATAGATAATCTAGCAAGTATAGCAAGAGAAAATCAATAGCCCAAGTTTCAGTTGTCCTATCGGAGTGGCTATTAATGTCATCTACGAGAACTCATGCAGTTTTAGAGCTGGTAAGGAGGGCATCTGTTAAAACTGATTTGGAGACTCTATAATCTTTCTGACTGATATCATAAATTCTCAATTCTTTTAGTAGCTAGTTTTATGGGGCAAAGTGTTAGACACACATAAGAGCAACACAACCATGCAGCGGGAATGAAAATATTAATATGGATGGTAGGAGTGACTTCAAAAGGACAATTAAAAATCAATACAATGGAAAAACACTGGGAGTGAACCCTGTTAGTGATAAGTTAACAGAAAGTTAATGTGATAGGAACATGTACAACATAGACCACCAAATGTACCTATAACCGAAGGAAGACTAGTTAAGATAAATAAGGGCATGTACGATGATGAGGCTTAGCTATCAACATCCCTGAGGAAAGGACAATCACTCATTATGTGAGACACCTGGCCAGGCTTGAGGCATGCATGGTTCTCCCAATACGATTGGCCTTTTTATTTTCTGCCTGCAATGTAGGCGAAATCATATAGATCTCTAGATAATGATCCACTGTCAATCACTCTTGGTCTTCACCTCTTAAGTTCCCAGATTTTCTTCTCACTTGGTAGTTGGAATTTAGATCGCTATTTTCTGTTCACAAATACTATTATCTGTGCTATGTCCACAAACTCAAAACAAGAAGTCAACTTCAGAGTTGAGACTTTTATAATCTAAACAAAATTCAAGAGCTTGTTTAAACAAAATTAGGCTCTCAATATTAGGCTCTCGACAAGGGGAGAGAGAGAATGCGTTTGGATGCTGGAGAGCGAGAACTGAAAAGTCGGCCTAGGCGGGCGGCTAGGCGGATAGGGGGTGGCTAGGCGGCCAGGCGGTGGCTAGGCGGCCAGGCGGGCGCTAGGCGGCTAGGCGGCTGGCTAGGCGGCTAGGCGGCTGGCTAGGCGGGTGCCTAGGCTTGTTGGATCTTTTTTCGGTGCCGAACCCAGAGGACGAAGCAGTGACTGAGAGAGAGTTCCGCCCTCTGCGAGTGCAAGCTTCGTGTTCGTTGGAATATATTTAAAGAGTATAGCCGATCGGCTGTACTTTTAAAATATTCGAATGTAATTAGAAAGTATAGCCGTGCGGCATCATTTTTGCTTTGTCCAGGGCACGTGCAGCATCTGCTATGAGAGCTCTTTGCTTTAAACTCAAGGAAGGATGCAAAATGCAGAAAGGACGCTATGATGCCACTTGATGCAGTTCAAGTATGAACTCGCAGAGCTTGTTACTATTTTTTTCCTTGTAGACACTTTAAAGTATGCTGATAATATCGTTGGCTAAAAATGTATGTGAATAATTTCACAATCTACTGTCTACTAGATCTCTGCTGATATGCTCTACGTTTTACTTGTTTGGCAGATTGGGGACCGAAGGTTGATGTTGTTGTTTTTTGTTTTCTTGACCTTGCTTCAAATTATGAACCCCCAGATTCACTTGTGCGGAGTGGCTTGAAGCTGGTGAATGTTTAATATTCTTTTCCCAGTTCTATCCCAGAGTAGCTCTGTTTGTCCTTACCCTAAAAAATTTACTTGTTCCTTCCCAATTAAAACAATCAACTAAAGCCAGAGTCTCCAAAGAGTGACCTGACCACCTTCATGTCGGTCCCCAACGAACAGGTTGTGGAGGTCTGTTCGTGACAGATGACAAATCGACCCTTTGGTTGTTCAGTTGTTCAATATCAAATTTGACTGAGGCATGTCTAATACATGCAGAGTATACCTCTGAATTGCATGGTACCATTCTTTGGGGACCAGCGATTTTGGGGGAAAGCGGCTATACTTTAAAAAAATTCTATTTAAAGAGTACAGCCGCTCGGCTATACTTTTGAAATATCCTTTTTAAAATTTTCTTTTTTATTCATTAAATAATATCTTAGCCTTGTTTAAATATTTTCATTAGTGATTAAGTTTTAATTATTATTTCTTTAGTGAATAATTAGTATTAAATATTTCAATAAAAATCCTAGAAATTTAGTTCTTTGTACCCAAAATATTTGAAACTTAAATCCAAGTCACAACGTGATTCGATAATATTAACTGCTTGTTGGACTTTGATTGAAATACATGAACTTGAGTCCCACATTAGAAAAGAAGAAAAAGTATATACTCCTTTCTAGGCTTATGGTTAGGGTTCGAGGCTTGAGAAAGGTTTGGGAACAATTTCGGAAACTAGAGTTTTTGGTTCGAGACTTGGATGTACCCAAACTAATTTTGTGAAAACAAAAATTTAAAACAAAGTCCACAAAAAAAAAAATTACTATTTATTAAGTAATTTATGAAAAGAGTAAAATACTTAAATATTCATTAAAGAAATAATAATTAAACATAATTACCAATTAAAGTAATTAAAGAAAGGCTATGAGCCTATGACATTACTTAATCACATATATTAAACTAAAGAAGTTGGCCAAAAAATAAAAATAAAAATAAAGA